CTTGGATAAATTTGCAGCTTCTAAATTTATAAACTGATATATTTTACATTCTCTTTAGAGCGGATGATTGGCAGATCAGTAATCAATGAATAGTAACAAATGGTGCAGAACACTGAACACGTCATGTGCTGCTCTTTTCCCTCTCTGTGCCTGACGTGTATTTATCAGGAAAGTCATCACAGCTTTCTGGTGTATACTCTCTGTCACTTTTGCCGGGGGTCACTTTATTGCAGAACTACACTGGATCTATTTAATGCAAAATAAACACATTCACACTAAGAATATTAGTAGGCATATTAATTTGTTTCAAATTTATTTTCTTAGCAATATACATATTTTATTAATTTTATATGGAAATAAATGAGTGTAAATACATCATAAGAAATTTTGATGTATACTTTATTCTACATATATGAATTTTGGGACTCCATAAAATAAATTATGTGAAGAGTGAAATAAGAAATATTAAAAATTACACTACACAGAAATTTTGATAGTTCTTTCTTCTTTATTTTACTCATGCTATATTATATTATTACTGTTTATTTTCATATCTTCTAATCACTTTTTTTTGACAATTTGTACAAATTATTTGATGAGTTTTGGTATTCACAATTCCTCCAAATAGAAATATTGGCAAAAGTAAAGAAAATCACCCAAACTTGAAAGGGAAGCATAAGTGAAGTATGTTCAAATGCAGGGATAGGACACATAATGAAAAAAAAAGTAAAATTAATCAAAAATAAAAATCACTAAGTTGTGAAAAAATTATCCAGCAAAACAAGAGAAAATGATTTGAGGGGATTGGATGTAAAAGGGTATATTTCAACCATGATATTGTAGCACATAATTTCTAAGTATATATGCATATGTAAAAACCATATATATGCACATATAATTCATGTATTTTTGACATTTTCTAATGGAAAAACATTGAGATTATGTAGCTTAGATTTCAAAATAGATTTTTCCTCAATCGTCATTATTTGTCTTCTCTTAAATTTGGTATACATTTCAATTATGAATCCCCAGGTCTTACTGTAGAATGGATACCAAAAGGAGCAATTCACAATTGTAACTTTGCTTTAAAAAGTTTCTATAGTTAACTCTGGAGGATAAGACCAGGAAGTATATGACCACATCTTTTGTACAGATTTTTGCTAAAGAAAAAATTAACCCCTTCATCTCCGCTTTTGAAGGTTTATTTCCTCCTCGTGTTTTATGGAATCAAAAAAGTTAATGAAAATATATGTACTCCCACTGTTATTTGTGGTGAATAATATAGCCAAATCAATTGCCACAAATTTATTTTAGATTTACTTGCTTTATTTAGAATATTATGCATTTGTTAATTGGTGTCAGTAACAGTACTGGAGAATACTTAGTATCTTTCATGTAATTTTTTGAAATATTTTATTCTAACTGTAAAACCAGATAAAATTTTGGTCCAATCCCACCTCTAACGTGTACTAACAATGGAATCCTTGGCAAATTGCTTAAATTCTCTGACTTTATTTTCCTAATCTGTAGAATGATAGTAATATCAACATCATAGAGCAGTTGCAAGAATTCAATGAGAGGCTACACTCAGTAAATACTAATTCTCTTCTTCTAACTTTGTTTGCTCTTGGTTTTAATGTGATGACACAACCTAAAAGATGAAAATGGCACGCTGGAAATAAAATAAATGGAATATTTTGAGCACCACACTCTAATTATGTAAGTAAACGGGAGAAATGCAGAGAGGATATTGATGTCTTGCTTTTTCTTCAGCAGAGCTGCATTTAACATAAAGGGGAGTCATTTTATTGAATAATAAAAGCCTGACAATCACTGTGATTGGCTGACGGCCATTGCTGCAGTGTAATTCTAAACAGCTTGTTTTTCAAAGTTCTTCTTGAATAACTCTTTAAAACCCCAGCATTGCCCAGCCTGCTTGCAAGGTTCAAAACTCGTTTTTAAAGTGAAATTTCTCACCTTTGAATCCTGCTGTGATATAAGAGATGGAAAAAAATGCATTGAAATAATATGTTCTAAAATAATTAAAATCAGATATTTTTTGACATGGAAGGAAAAATTTGGAAAATTTAGCAAACTAAGGTTTAAATGGCAGACAAAATGAACTCGTGACTCAGAGAAGAAAAGACCACATGTGAAGAGATCTTATTAAAAAAAAAAAGAAGCCCAACGGGTTTTACAGTGAAAAGCACAACATTTGATTTGTGTTATCCAGCTTAAAACCCTGTGACTTCTGAATAGAACTCAACAAGATTTCCAAGTTACCAAATCCACTTTTATGCATTCATCTTTCCCAGTGAGTATTTCTAATCAGCAATCTTCACTAAGTGGGTGTAGAGTTGGCAACTCACCAAAATAAATATTTAATAGTATTTTAATATTTATTTTAAATCTCTTTTATTTAAATTGTGGATCAATACTTTATTTGGCCAATGAATGCCGCCCAGAATGTTTGAGAAACACATTTGCTGTTGCAGCTCTCTGCAATGGACGTGTATTTAATTTTCAGAATTGCCCAGGTTAGATCATCTCTGATGGAGGCATTTGATCTTAAACGTCAACATCGGAAGTCTTGAGAGAAAGATCGGGGGCAGCAATCTGTGAACAGCAGAACTGTGTTAATTGCTCATGCTCAAACAGAGAGATGCCAATTAATTCCAGACAACCCGGATTCAAAGCAGCAGAGGGAAATGATCCTCATGTGAGTATTACACAAAACTGAAGAAAAATAGATGTGTTCCAGCGCCCCAAAAGCTGATTCTTGATCAGGCAGCAATAGAAGAATCTCAACGCACCCAGCGATTGGCTGATGGAATCTTGGTTCAGGCGACAGGCATCCTAAACCAGATGCTAGGTGGAGAAATCCCTCTCTCACCCTCACCTTCAGAATCCGCGGCTCAGCCACCTGGGCTCCCGCGGGCGGCGCCGCCGCCTCACTCCTGGCGCACGTCTCCCCCTCTCGACCGTCAAGTGCGCACTCCCGCGCCGAGAGCACTAACACAATGGACTCACTTGTTTCCCTTGCACCTCTCCTTTGACTTCCAGCCCCAGCCCACAACTTGAGCAAGAGGCAAACAGGAGCCTCTTCAGCCCTGGAGCACTTCCAGACCGGCTGGGCAACACGCGCGCACACGCAGACCAAACAAACAAAGCCTGGCCCCCGAACGAATACATTAACGCCACCCACGCCCCCACCCATCGCTCTGCCACCCGCAGAAAGAAAGCCGGGACGGGGTTTCCTGAACGAGAGACGTTTGGGCTTGCAAACCGCAAACATGCCTCTCTCGTGACAGCAAGAGAGATGCTGCGCGTCCTGATGGCCATAAGATTGCTTTTACTGATCCCGTGACAACGCCCCCAGGATCGCGCTGAGCCAGGTTCCCCGAGAACCGCGAGGGGGAAGCGCAGGTGTAGGGAGAAGGAAGGAGGGATGAGAAATGGGAAATCAGAAAAACAAAACAAACAAACAAACAAACAATGCCTGCGTTCAATGGGGCTTTAATAGTGAAACTTCGGGAGAGAAAGGGATGCGCTGGGTCCCCAGGTAACCACGTTGAGATGGAAAATAGATGGCTACAGAAGCAAGTGGCAGGCAACGGCAACTTCGAGGAGAGCAGCAAGTTGCTCACCTCCTCCCAGGCGCCTGATCAGTCCCCCCGCCCCGAGCCGCCCCGGCACCCGCGCCCCCATCGGAGGCGGCGCGGGCGGCGGCG